GAGGGCCCCCCCCCCCCCCATGTGTCCCCCTTAGTGCCCACCTGCCTGCTGCGCTCCGTGTCTGCACGTCTCCCGTCCTCAGCCCGCCCCAGTGCATCCTGGGTTCCCTCAGCCTCTTCCTTTCCCAGAACAGGCTGCCTCCACTGGCCTCGGGCCGTTCAGGTGCATGAGGGCCCGTATTTGCTTTAATGCTTTCACTGTCTTGAAATTCTTCATACTTTTTAAACAAGTGGGACATTTTCATTTTGGCAGATTACGTGGCCAGCCCTTCCCAGACGGTGCCATGGGGAGCTGGTTCAAACCGCCCGTTTGGGGTCCACAGTGCCCCACCCCTGCCTTGCTGGGCAGACCATGCCTCAGGCGCCCACTGTGGTCTTGCTGAATGGATCACATTGAGCGCTGTCTGTATGCTAGGCTCCAGCATGCCGGGTGGGGAGTGTGGAAAGTGTGGAAGGTGTCTGTTGGGGGGTACTCCGGGCCGCCGGGGAAAGGGGTGGCAGAGGAAGGCCCTCCCGGCTGAGGGAACCCCGTCCTCAGGCTGTGCATCCACCTCCATGGTGGGTCCCGGAGAAGGGGAAGGGGTAGATCAGGCTCCGGGTGCCAAGCGTGCTGCTGTGGGAAGGGAATCTTTAAATAGCTTCTTGCTTTCCACTAAAAATAGCGAAGTTCTGCTGCTATGGAGGTGGTTGCCGGGGTGGCGGGGCTGGCCTCTGGCCAAATGAGGCGTGGGTGCGCCAGTGTGGCCTGTACGCGCTAGGTGACAGGCAGGGCTCATAGTCAGGGCTTGCTGTGGGGATCCCCGGTGCCCCGCCCCCTGACTTCACAGTGAGCCTCGGTACTGGGAAGGGAGCAAACCCCCTGAATGTCCCTGCTTGTCACAGCAGCCAGGGACCATGGGAGAGATGGGGAGCCTGAGGCCAGCGGGGCTTTGTGGGTGCTGAGTGAGGAGACTCAGGGACCCACTGTGAGTTGGGGCAGGGGCCGGAGGCCATGTGCCCAGGGACTGGCGGGGGCTCTGGTTAGGTCCCAGGAGAGCTGAGGAAGATACTGTCTGTGGCAGAGTACCCATCAGGGAGGTATGCATGACCCTTACAGGGCAGCAGGAGTCTGGGAAGGCTTCCTGGAAGAGGGGGCAGCCTTGGAGCCAAGTGGTGAAAGATTTCGAAGGGGTGGGGGCGTCATTCTTTCCTAGAGTCTCCCAGCGTTCTGCATTGTCATGTGGAGAGTAAGGTGACCTTCTGAAAAGAAGGCGCTGCCAGGTGGCCCAGACTCTGAGACTGCGCCCCTCAGGGAAGAGCAGGGATCACTCCACTTGGCATTTACTGGCTGAGAATTGGGGCTCCTCACACCCGAGGATCTCCAGGCTCAGGGGCCCTGCTGGGCTGGGACAGGTCTAGGTGAGGATGGAGGTGGCCTGAGCTACCTGGTGGGTCACTGGCCTCTGTCAGTCACGGTGCATGGACAGAAAGGGCTCATTTCCCTCCGGAGAGCCTGGGTGCGGTAGGAGGACATGGGTGGGCTCTGGTCACCCCTCCTAAGTCGTGCCACCCCAGGCCTATGGGCCTCTTTGAACCTCAGTTTTCTCAACTGTGAGTTAAATTCCCAACAGCTACCAGGGGGCTTGCTGGGGTTAGAGCTGGCACACACAGTCCGTGCACCATGCACAGCATGCATAGCCCAATGGTTGAGCAAAGGAGCAGCAGGCAGGTGGGCAGGGGTCTGCCAGGACCCACAGCAGCATGGCCTTCCTGACTGCCATGCTGAGCATCAACAGTGGCCTTGAAGGCCTGTATGTGCATGTACATACCTAATTTCTCTGCCCCCAAGTCCCCTCCTCACCCGCCTGCCACACTCCCAGACCCAGCCCTGCCCTGCTGTGCCACACAGGTGCCCGTGGTTGACGCGTGCTGTGTCCCCAGCCGTTCCCGTCTACAATGGCATCATCTTCCTCTTCGTCCTGGCCAACTTCAGCATGGCCACCTTCATGGACCCTGGCGTCTTCCCCCGAGGTAGGACCTGGTGCTGGGGCAGGTCATCCGCTCTCTTTCACTAGAGTGTGAGTGGCTGCCACGGGGAGAGTCTTTGGTAGGGGGTTCCTGACGGGTGGGCTGGCAGAGATCGGGGAGGGGCTCTCCTGCCAGGGAAGTCACTTTCCTGCCACCACCCTTGGCTCTGGCCCACAGCGGATGAGGACGAGGATAAGGAGGACGACTTCCGGGCCCCGCTCTACAAGAACGTGGATGTGCGGGGCATCCAGGTCCGAATGAAGTGGTGTGCCACCTGCCACTTCTACCGCCCACCGCGCTGCTCCCACTGCAGCTCACCCTGACGTGCTGCTCCTGCCCAGGACTTTGACCACCACTGCCCCTGGGTCAACAACTGCATCGGGCGCCGCAACTACCGCTACTTCTTCCTGTTCCTGCTGTCCCTCAGCGCCCACATGGTGGGTGTCGTCGCCTTCGGCCTGGTCTACGTGCTGAACCACGCCGAGGGGCTGGGAGCCGCCCACACCACCATCACGTATCCTTGGCCCGACCACAGAGGCAGCGTGGGCTGGGGGCACATTCTCAGGGGAAACTGAGACTCGGGGGTGGGTCAGCTGCCTGGGAACCCCCGGGGGGTGGGCTGCCCTTTCTGGATGGGTGGGAAGTTTGTCCACAGGCACCTGCTCTGTGTCTTCGCCCTTGGCCGTTGGCCTTAACGGGCCAGCATGGCTGTCATGTGTGTGGCCGGCCTCTTCTTCATCCCTGTCATCGGCCTCACCGGCTTCCACGTGGTGCTGGTCACTCGGGGGCGCACTACCAATGAGCAGGTGCAGACCCTGGGTGGGGCCATGCTGTGAACGGGGATGGGGGTCCCCGATGCTGAGAGGGTCAGGCTGCACCGGGACCCTGGGGGGTCGGGGCAAGGCTGCAGGGGCACTCACTCAGGTGGCCCGTGTAGGTGGGGGAGGCTCTGGTCCCGTGCACCCAGGTGGGGTAGGGGGTGGAGCTCTGCCACTGCAGCCACCAGTGACTCGGGGCCCGGAAGTTCCACAGCTCCCTGCGGGACAAGCTGGGGTGACCTGGGTGGGGCTACCACTGGGCTGACCCTGACCAACCCAGGAGGAACCCCGGCTGTCCCTCTGCCCACGGTGGGCTGGGCCCCGGGTAGCCACGCTGGCTGAAGGGCCATTTGTCCGCAGGTGACGGGGAAGTTTCGTGGGGGCGTGAATCCTTTCACCCGAGGCTGCTATGGGAACGTGGAGCACGTGCTGTGCAGCCCCCTGGCTCCCCGGTGAGGCCTGGGTGGGGTGTCGAGGGGGCCTCTGCCCGGGCTCAGGGTGGGCAGCTGCAGACCCTAAGCCTGGTCTGCTTCTGCCCTTGGCCGGTGGGGCTGGCCCTGCCCTCGGGATATGTTCAGACTGGGTCGGCCTCGCCACTGCCCCCTCTTCCCCGGTGCAGGTATGTGGTGGAGCCGCCCCGGCTGCCGCTTCGGCCGGTGGGGCTGGCCCTGCCCTCGCTACACGTTCAGACTGGGTCGGCCTCGCCACTGCCCCTCTTCCCTGGTGCAGGTATGTGGTGGAGCCGCCCCGGCTGCCGCTTGCTGCTCGCCTGAAGCCGCCCTTCCTTCGGCCCGAACTCCTGGATCGAGCTCCTCCGCTCAAGGTCAAGCTTAGCGACAATGGGCTGAAGGCTGGCCTGGGCCGAAGCAAGGTGGGGGCCCTTGGGTGGGTAGGAGATGGGGGGAAGGTCAGACCCTTGGAGGCGCGAAGCAGCTAGGTTGGAGGGGCCTGGAAGAATGGAGGGCGGAAGAATTGGGCAGATTCTGGGGCAGGATCCATGTCCCAGGGCCCCAGGGAGGCATCCCCGGTTAAGCCCTGGCCCATGCTCTACCCACCACTGACCATGCCCCCTCCCAGTCCAAGGGCAGCCTGGACCGGCTGGATGAGAAGCCACTGGACCTGGGGCCGCCACTGCCCCCCAAGTCGGAGGCTGGCTCATTTGGCGGTGACCGGCAGACCCCGCGCCCAGGCAGTGCTGGTGAGGAGGGGCTGGCCAAACGAGGGGAGGGGCATGTTTGACCCTGGCCTGACTGAGGTCCATTTCCCCCAGAGAGCGCCCTGTCGGCCCAGAGGACCAGCCCCCCGACACCCGCCATGTACAAGTTCCGGCCTGCCTTTCCCACAGGCCCCAAAGCGCCTTTCTGTGGCCCAAGCGAGCAGGTGAGGAAACCCGGCCCTACCCTGATGCCCTGCCCCGGCGACCCCACCCCCAGAGGCCTCACCCCGTGGGAGGCCCTGCCGGGGTCACGGAGGGTGTCAGCAGGATCCCACTTTGCAGAGATCCCAGCTAGGGCCAGTGGACGGGAGCGGAGCAGGGTGTCCTGGGAGGGGCTGGCGCAGGCGGTCCTGGCCCTACGCCCTTGGCCGGCACTGCCTGCTGGCCCAGTAGGCGGCTGCCCCCAGGAGCAGTATGTGCCAGGATGCCAGGAATTGCACCATTAGTCACTCCGTCAGGCCCACGGAAAGGCTTCAGAAGAATCTGAGATTGTTTGAGAGAGCACATTATTTGCCCAAGTATAAGCATTCTGTGCTCACTGTGGAGCCATCGGTGGCCCTGGACTGCCAGGAATTCCCAGGAATTCCCCAAGCGTTCCCAGGCTGGCCGCCCTCCTTCACAGCCATTGAGAGGCAGCCCTGTGGCTGGACCAGCACACCTCGGCCAGCCCCCACCCACCCAGGACGCCCCTCTTCTCGGGGCCCACTGGTCTCGGCAGTGACTCCGAGCCTCTCTGGCCAGTGTGCAGTGGCCCTGCTTGGGGACAGGGCTGGGCTTTAGGTGCCCGCATCCAGGGCACCTCCTTGGGATTGTCCTGGCTCTTACAGAGGCCTGGGGTTGTCCCCCTGAGGCTGGCCCCTGAGGCCACATTTGTGCCCACCCATGCCTCTTCTGTTTTTTTTTTTAA